TAGATCCTATACATTTTTGAATTTTTTATAAAAAATTTTTCCCTTATTACTTCTACTGTTTTATCACCGATAAAGTATTCTTCTCGCCCTGGAAATAAGTAGAATTTTTTGACGACGTTCATCGCAACGGAATTATTTGTAGAAATCCGATTCTTTTCCTGAAGTTGGACACCGCGGATCATGTCTATTTCTCAAAAATGGTAATCATGCTGAAACCGAAGGATTACTTACACAATTATACTTGCGTATATTATGATAGTGCAGGTTATTTATTCACTGCTAAACCCTCGCCTGATGGTCGTCTTTTCATCTAAATTTTTTTTTCAGAAGGAGGATGGTCCACGAGAGGAATAAGGAGAATTGATCCAAACTATCATGGATTTGTTCGATGTGAAACTAACCATATGGGAGTGTTCTCCTTATTGCCGGTAAGATTCCCTTCTCAGTTGATGCTACAATGACTTCCTTGGCTGAATATTTCCCACCAGGACGCCTACTTCCTCTCGGATGAAGATGCAATGCGAGATTTAAGCGTACTGTTACCGACAGTAACCACCTTTATCTCGATGATCTGCTCGATATTCTTACTATTCATGGCTGCTGTGCAGAAGTGAGTCTATTTTGCTTCAGAAAATTTGTTTGGGTCAAATGGTAATCTTTTAGGAACCATACAGTGGATTTTGCTCTTCTGGTCTACCTCTTTTTCGTCTTTATGATACATGTTGTACATCTTGTCATGTTGATTGCACCTCAGGTAAATATAGTAGAAATTCCAATAATTAAAATTAATTGTGAGTTAAAATATACATAAATAACTGAATCTACTAATCAAGTAATTAATGATCACAGCAATTGGTATATTACTTACTTATTACTTACTTATTACTTATTTACTAATGTGAAAGGAAAACAGTCATAAAAATCCGTCGCGTCTAGTGCTTCCCAAAAAATGTTCTCTAGAATTTTTGGAAATGGCTTATGCCACACCATTAAGGTAAACTTTCAGCATTTTTTTCTC